CATTTCACTTAAAGAGACAGCTTCAGCATCAGTAACCCTCTCTGCAAGCCCAGTACAGTGGAGATGTACTGAGGCACTTAAAAAATGAGATGGCAAGCTGATCTCCACAGGGAATTGCTGGTGTACGCACAGAGTACCACTGCCATTGACAGGGTCTATGAGTCAAAAGGACAAACACAGACAAAAAATGGCAAAGTCCATTAAAGGACTGGGACTTGGCAGCTTCAACTTTATCACTATTTTAACAGAGATAAATACAGAATATGAGGAGGGAAGTGCACTGTTGTTTTAGGCTTTGCCCTATTTTTTTAATCTGGATTTCAGAAGAGGATGAACCTATGACTAGCATTATAGGAAATAAAATGTGAACTAGTGAAACTGCATAAATTGTAGTTGATTTTAACAAACAACCATCTCCTCATGTACTTCCACTTACTCTGAAACTAAGATTGTATCATGTAGCTCACAGATTTCATTAGCAACATACAATAACAATTTAAGATTTATTACTTAAAAGGGTCTCCACTCGGTGTAACAAGATAAACGTAATTCAGAAGATATTTTTTCTCTGCGCACTAGAGATGGGACAGGAGCTACAGAAGATCCCTAGCATGAAGTGCAAATGAGTATAGAAGTTGATATTAAAAGGGAGTTGCTTGTTGATATGAAGCATTTTTGACAGTTGAAACAACTGAAAGTTGCTTACTGTAGCCATCCGGGGAAGAGAAGAATGAGCAATGAATATGAAACCAGGAGGACAAACTGGGTTCCTTGAAAGCTGTTAAGTAAAAGTCACATGACATGTAGAAGAACAAATAGAGATATTATGTAAAAAATTTAGTATTCTTTTCTCAGATGGATGAGAATTTTATTTTTTAACAACAAAAAAAAAATTCTTTCAGTTATTCCAAATATTTAGTTTAACAAATCAGTTATTCCTAAAAAAAGAATTATGTTGGAAGGTGTATTAGTAAGAATTATCAAAAACTGAGGAAATGTTCAGGCAAGATGATAGCAATCTAACTTTATTACAAACAGTGCAATACCTTTCTTAATAAACATTTTTGCTGTAGCTGCACTGCCATGACAGTTACACTCGGGTAGAAGGATTCTTTCATTTTGATCCCTGTTTCTGGAGTTTCTAGAAAAATAAAGCTCCTGATCCCATTTTTAGGCTTTGATGTTGTAATGTTTTTACAAGCCTGCTAAAAGTTTAACTGGTTTGAATGGTTAGAATGGTAATTCTTTTGGATAATGTTTCAGCGTGCATGCTTAGGAGGACAGCTTTAATGCATGAGATGATAGATAATGTCTCCTACGATGGCCTACAGACTATGTTTCTGATGCAGTGTTCGAGGCGCAATGTTTGTAAGCCTTTGACAATGGCTGCTGAAAATTAGGCACTGTCTCAGACGTGTAACAAAACATGAGGAGACCATTTTATTTTAAAGCTCTTCCTTCCCCAGAAATCATGTGGCAACGTACACAGTGTTAATATTACTTATCCACCACATACCCACTATCTGCACTCCCAAGGGTAAATTATAATCAAATGTATTTACATTAGAGACAGAAAAATTATCTATTTAGAAATGCATTTTCTCCCAAGCTTTATTAGAGAAAGATGCAAAGATACTCCTTATGCCTTTAAAAATGCTGTTAGTATTAACAACATGACTAGATAAAAGTGTCATAAAATGTAACAACAATCTCATTTCCAATCTACAGAACAAACAAGCTTAGTTACTAAGGACAAAATATATTCCCCAGAGGAAAACTGTATGGAAGTGGTAAAGTAATTTCATAATTGTGAAAAGGCCAAACATTGATTCCTTGAGAGTTCATGCTTTGTTTGCTGCTGCACAGATGATAGCAACGGATTCCTTTCATTCATAGCCAGTAAACAAAAAGGCCAATCTATCAGCTTATGTGTAGTTAACTCAGAGGGGGAATTTGACCCAGTTTGTCCTTGTCTCTCTGTTGCTGAAATGTAAAGACTGATCCTTCATAACAGCGGAAAATGCTACTGTGGCCTCAAGGCAAATGATTCCAGAATGGCTATTAACCTCTGCACTTCGATCCAAATTTATAAAAGAACATGAAAAAAATTGAAACAGCTTTAATGTAGCCTGTCATGATTTTCTTCTATGACACAAAGAAGCCACTCAAAGGCCACTTTGAAGTCATACTGTCTGTTCCAAGATGCTCCCCATACTTTCTAAATACCAGTCTCTGCTCTGCGCCACAGGAATGTCAAGTGAGTGAATAGATAATACATCCATTTTTATTAGTCCAAAATCATTAATTTGAAAAGAAAGATTTGAATTAATATTTTGTCATTTGGGTTATTCGTCTTCCATATCTTCTCATGCTTTATCTTGTATACTTTTAATGACATAGAGTATGTGTGCTGTTTAATTTAGTCTTTAAGTGTCTATGGTTAAAACTCCTTGTTTTTGTGAGAGATCCAGCATATCTTTTGTCACAGAAAGTGTAGAAACAAAATAGTAGTAATAATAGAAATCAAATACCAACCGTCTGAATACTTACACTAAATAAGGCCAAAAATTACATTTCTATTGCTCAAGGGTTTTTCATTTGCTGAAGAGAAATGAGACCATCTGCTGAGGAAGTGATGGCAGAGTAACATTAGGAACTTCTTGAACTATAGCAATGTTTCAATGTCAATCTGCTTTATGCTAATGTGCAGGATACATTTCACACAACAGTTTCCTCTAGTTTTGTCTTTTCTTATAGTGCATTCACTTTACATTCATAGAATCATAGAATCATTTAGGTTGGAAAAGACCTTTAAGACCATCAAATCCAACCATTAACCAGTTAAATTTAGTTTCTGCCTTCTCTAAACCACTCCTGTACCCTTGTCCCACTTCAAATTTCAGACAGCCAAGGTATCAGGGCTGGAAGGAGACAGATTGTAGGAATAAGAAGTAAAGGGAAATCTGGGGTGTTTTGACAAACCAAGTCTTAACTTATAAAAGCGATGTTATAATTACCGCATGATCTGAATAAATGACAGACTTGAGCATCTATTTATGGCTAGCTTTATTCAGAAAAGCACATAAAGTTTACATTATATTATCTGAGTACCAATCTCTGCAGTATATTTCCAACTTCTATGAGTGTTCTTTGTTTGGCATATAACATTGATATGCTTAAGTATTATATATACGAGATCACTAATATGCTGAAAATAATTTCCATACTAATAAATCTTGTTGATTAGGTGACTAAGTGAAGAATGAAAATTACATAACTGTAGGAAAGATGATACCTATTCTTCCTTTCTATTCAAAAGATTAAAAATCTTCATTTGGTTTCAAAAACTCTACCTTTTAGGATGGCTGGTTTCAGGAACTGCTAATGGTCTATTGGGCCTTTTTGCAGAACATTAACACCATCCATTGACCTCTTCATTAGCAGACATGAAATTATTTGGAATTCCAGTTCCTGCTGTGAAGTTGTCCACATTACAATGTTCATGCCTGTGGCAGTCTTAGCAGCCAGATCAGGCACTAAATGGGCCATAAAATATACTAACATATCTTAGACAGGTCTTTTGCAGAAAAAGGGAGAGGAAAAGAAAAAGGCAAGGCACTTTCAAGATTATTAAGGATGAAACAATGAAGATATGGGCAAGGCACACTGCATTTGCCCATGCTGTATTTTTTCCAAAGCCTTTACTATACATAAACATTTGGGATTTAATTCTACTACTAAAAACTTTTCATCAGCAAATACGGAATATAGTCTCTTGGTAACTAATTGGAAGCTTTCTATTCATCACTGAGAAAATGGCAGTGCCCCAATCATTTAGCTTTAAAAATTCTTTCAAAGTGTGTTTTATACAAATATGCTTTTGGACTGAGATGACCTGAAATGCTCAGATTCATTCATAAAATCTCGTCGTCACTGTCTTTAAGAAATAAATTTTATCACTTAATCCTTCGTGTTTTTACTTGGTCTAGTATTTATATTCGGGGGGGGGAGGCGGTTTCTGGGTTTGTTTTTTGTTGTTGTTTTTGTTGTTGTTAACACTGCTTACCGTGAGAGACCCGACCGTCACAACTTTTTGCCTCAAAGATCGCCTGCTCGAGCGGAAAACCCCTCCAGCTACTGAGTGCGATAAGGACGATAAGGACGATTGCCGGGTCGTCGAGACGCTCAGCCTGCGAAACGCGCTCTGCGGCCTCACGCGCCGCCCAGTCAGGTAACAGTCGCGTGAAGAACGAGGCTGGGACCGCAGGAAGTGTGTGCGCACGCGCAGGAACGCGGAGCCGTGTCGTACGTGCCGTCATGAAAACACGGGGCCGTGTGGCACGTGCCATGGTGAAGACCGCGGCCAGTATAAAAGGGAACTGCCGAGACGAGGGGAGCGCCTTCGCCCACCGCCGCAGAACGAGAGATTTGGACCCCCGAGGGGCTGTGGATCCGTGGCGGTGACTATTCTTGCGATTCTATCCCGGAGTCTTGCTTGGTTCTCTGCCTTTCTTTTCTGCCCTGTCCTATCGCTCTTATTGGTTACCTTTACCTTTTTTTTTTTTTTATCTTTTTTTTGTTTCTGGCATATGGCATTTGACCTCGTTTGTGTCTTAATCTCGCTCTCGGGATCGTATCGAAACCAACATTGGATCGGGACATTTAAATTGGCGTCACGGAGAGGATCCCTTGAGACGAGAGTGCCGTATCGTTTCCCAAATACGTGAGACCTCTTGGGAACGTAAGGGGACGGGCTTGTTGTTTTGTTTGAAACTTACGTGCTGCTTTCCTGAGACCATCGCTTCCCCGCCGTGCGTAACTGTCTCTCAGGCATGTCAGGGGGGTGGCCTTGTGTGCTGTTTGAACCTTGCGTGCCGTATTGTTTCCTAAATACGTGAGACCTCTCAGGAACGTGAAGGGGGGGGGGGTGTGTGTTTTGTTTGAAACTTGCGTGCTGCCTTCCTGAGACGACTGCTTCCCCGCTTTAAACAAAATGAGTGATGATACAACCGTTCCTTTGGGAAGTTTTGTTTGACTTTCTGGAGAAACATAAAGCATGACCCTCTGTGCCCGGAGTGAACTGGGCTCAGAGAAATTGGCATAATTTGCAGAGCGTGGTTGACCAAATGAGTGCCTTGCACAAAGATGCGAGACTAAGAGCAAGAAAAGGCAAAGCGATTATTTGTGCCGTTCTTGGTGCTAGCTTAGCTGCCACGGTAGAGGCTAGAGATTATTGCCGTACTGCGGAGTCCCTAACTATCGCATCCGAATCCCTTCAAAGCCTTACCCGGTCCCTTCAGCGGCAAGTGGCGGAATTAAAAAAACAACTTAAAGCGGAAAAGGATCAAGTGAAACATTTGCAGGCTGCCCTTAAGGAGCAGCTCCGTGCGGATGCTACCTGCGAGGGAATTCCCCTGAGATCTGAAATTGGTCACCCCTTTAACGACCTGCAGGCAGCGAAAGAGGGAGTAATTAGAACTGCTTTCGTCGCGACCCTTGGTCAAGACCGAGTACATTTATGATGATGAGCAGGACCAGTCCCTCCAAGTTACAACCAAGGAAGTCCCCTATACTGCTGTCGAGTTGGCTAAACTAAAAAAGAAATTTGGCCGAACCCCTAAGGAATCAGAAACGGAGTATGTGTGGAGAGTGTCGCTGTCTGGGGGGGACCAGATTCTGTTAAGTGAAAGAGAGGCGGAAGGGTATTGGGGACCAGGAGTGTTTTTAACTACTGGGAACCACCATGCCCCCTGGTCTCTAACCCAACGGGCAGCCTATTGGGCAGGTGGTTTGAACCCCCTGGAGAGGGGGGACCTTCTTGCGATTACGGGGACTGTGGATCAATTAGTAGAGAGTGTGCAGAAGGCAGCTTGTCTGCAGATGATGTATGATCGAATGTTGGAGCCTAGACAGGAGTCCCCAATGATCATGCCAGTAGATCCCGAACGAATGACCCCTTATAAGGGGACTCCCCAATTCCTCGAAACCGATTGGTATACAATTACAGGGGAAAACACAAGTGATGCCCCAAGATGACAGAGTTGCGGCTGCTTTAGAAGGACTTACTCCGCACTGCCGACCCTCGGACAGGAAATTGTGGACCTGGGGGGAGGTGGCCCAAAAACTGATCAATTATGGGCGCAGGTATGGCCCCGTTAACCCTCCAACTGCCAAAACGGACCCCAGGGGCTTGAGGCGAGCGAAAGTAAAAATAGTTCCACGCCCCGGGAATGATAGGAGAGTACCTCTTTCCAAACCACCAGGAGGGAGAGACATCCCGAACAGACGTAATAGACTGTGGGCGGAGGGACAACAGAAGGGGATCCCGTGTGACTTAATGGACGGACTGCCAACAGACAAATTAAAAAAATTGGTAACAGGATGGCCCACTAAATCAGCAAATGGAGAAGTGGATTTTGAGGATACTACTCACAGTGCGCCCTCCTTGATTGATTTATCAGAAGTAAATGCCCCCCAAAACCCGGTGGGAAACTAGATCCTTCGCCCTTCTATGGTGAGCGGAGCGGTGAAGGTTGGATACATATCAAACAGCTCACTGAGAATGGCCGGGATGATTTGCTAATTACAGGCCTTGTAGGACCAAAACAAGTTCCGGTCACGTTTTTGATAGATACTGGTGCTCAAATTTCAGCTATTAAAACGAAAGATGCTGCTAATTGTGGAGTTACATCCTCCAAGCAAACACTGTTTGCGGCAGATGCATTTGGCACTGTTCAACCACAGGCATTGGCAATGGTCAACCTGCATCTGCCGGGAGAAGATAGTGCCACTACAGTGGCTATGGTAGTGGGAGAGCTTCCATTCAACCTCTTGGGACTTGATGTTCTGAAAGGGAAGACCTGGATTGATAATAAAGGGAGACAGCGGTCATTTGGCTCCCCCACTGTAGATATTCAGCTGCTGCAAGCCACGCCACTACTTCTCCCCTTTGAAGCTTACAAATGTTAAGCCTTATCTGATCCCTTTGGGGGCCAGAGAGGGAATAACACCTGTATTAGAGGACTTAAAAGGACAAGATATTGTGATTCCAACCCACTCTCCTTTTAACTCTCCAGTGTGCCCAGGATGAAAACCTAATGGCACATGGAGATTAACAGTAGATTATCACAGGCTCAATGCAAATACCGGTCTGTTGACAGCAGCGGTACCAAACATTGCTGAGCTTATAGCTACGATCCAGGAACGAGCCCACCCGGTCATGGCGACAGTGGATGTTAAAGACATGGTTTTTATGGTTCCCCTGCAGCCTGACGACCAAGATCGCTTTGCTTTTACGTGGGAAGGCCAACAATTCACTTTCACCCACAGGGATATAAGCATTCCCCCACTCTAGCCCACCATGCGTTAGCGCAGGAGCTAGCAGGTCAGTGTTTACCAATATATTGACGACATTCTCATGGGAGGGGATGAAATAAAGAAAGTTCAGATAACTCAGGATAATATAATTTCCCACTTAGAAAGTCTGGGGTTGAAAATTCCACCGGAGAAGATACAAACACCCTCGAGTGAGGTAAAGTTTTTAGGAATCTGGTGGAAAGGATTTTCCACTGGACACCCTTTCCTCATTAGATCAGATTAAAATGCTGGAGTTGAAAAAGGATTTGCAGCATGTATTAGGATTACTTGTGTTTTGGAGAAAACATATCCCTGATTGTTCGATTATTGCGAGACCCCTGTATGACTTGTTGCGAAAAGGGGCCCAGTGGGAATGGACTGAACCTCACGAAGAAGCATTGCAATTGCTAGTGTTTGAAGCAACTGCCCATCAAGCTCTTGGTCCCATTCACCCCACAGACCCCGTCCATATTGAATGGGGATTTGCCAAGATCGGACTGTCAATACATCTATGGCAAAAGAGCCCTGAAGGACCCACTCAGCCTATTGGGTTCTATTCCTGTAGTTTTAAAGATGCTGAAAAAAGATAAACTACCTGGGAAAAGGGTTTGTATGTAGTCAGTTTAGCCTTGAGAGAGGCTGAACGGACCATTCAGCAACAGCTAATAGAACTTAAGAGTCCCGTTTAAGGTAATCAAAATTATTTTAGCAGGAACTCCGCCCCCTGATGGGGTGGCTCAAAGAGCCTCCATGCAGAAGTGGTATGCCCAGATAGAACATTAGTGTGACATTTTTACAGTGTCTGAGGGAACTGCAAAGAGGTTAACTATTCAAGAAGAGATGAGCCCAGGTAGAGAAACACCCGAACTCCCTCCTGTAATACAAGTGGTCCCTCTATTTCCGAACAGTTGCAGAATGCTTGGTTTACTGATGCTTCCTCTAAGCAAGAAGGAAAAACTTGGAAATATCGAGCTGTAGCACTCTGCGTAGATGTGGATAAACAAATAATCACTGAAGGGGAAGACAGTGCTCACGTAAGGGAATTAGTTGCAGTATGGAGTGTTTTCCAACATGAAGCCCAATCTACCTCTCCTGTCTATATCTATACTGGCTTCTAGGCTGTATTTAAAAGGTGTACTGAAAGGCTTTCATTATGGGAACAAAATGAGTGGGAAGTCAACAGGATACCTGTATGGCAGAAAGAAAAGTGGCAGGATATCTTGACTACTGCTAGACAAGGAAAGTTTGCGGTAGCCTGGGTGGCTTCCCATCAACAGGATAATACCCCTGTTAGCCAATGGAATGGCAAAGCTGACAAGTTAGCCTGATTAGCTCCCCTCCAAAACACTCAAATAGCAGAAGACTGGGAGTGATTGTTGGAATGGTTACATGTAAAGAGGAAGCATTCAGGGATCAAAGACCTCTACTGTGAGGTGCAAGCACGAGGTTGGCCACTTACTAGGGAGGAATGTAAGACTTGTGTGTCTGCTTGCGAACAATGTCATACCCGCTTAGAAAGACACCCCCTGGAAGACGATCTCCTACACCTGAGGGAGGGGAAAGGGCTATGGGAAATGTGGCAGGTTGACTACATTGGTCTTTTCCGAAAGTCAGAAGGAAAGCATTATGTGTTGGTTGGAGTAGAGGTAGTGTCAGGGTTAGTCCAAGCTGAAGCATTTGCCAGAGCTACCGCAGAAAACAGGTGAAAGCTTTGAAAGAGTGGTTTGGCACCTTCCCCAAACCATGGTCAATTCAGTTGGATAATGGTTCTCACGTTACTGCTAAAATAGTCCAGGAGTGGGCAATTTGGGAAGGAATCTCGTAGGTACGCCATACTCCGTATTATCTGCAGACAAATGGAATTGTAGAAAGAACTAATGGTTTGTTGAAGTGCTTTCTTAAGCCGCATAAGCCCAGATGGGTCGAATGACTATGGGATACAGTTACTGGTGTTAACAGTCATTGGGGAATAAATAGATGCCCAAAAATCACAGCATTTTGTACAAAGGCTCCAACCATTATGCCAGCCACATGCGGCTCTGACTATCCCAAAAATCCGTCGCACTTTCCGGGCCAGCCTGTTTTGGTCGAACTCCCCACTGTGGAGGCTGTACCCCTTGTACTGGAAACCCCAGTGAATAAGTGTGCCTGGAAAGCAAAAGATGCTTGTGGGAAGGAACACAAGATTAACACAAGGTGGATTATTCATAGAATCATAGAATGGTTTGGGTTGGAAGGGACCTTAAAGATCATCTAGTTCCAACCCCCCTGCTGCAGGCAGGGACACCCTCCCCTAGACCATCCTTCTAACCACAACTCTCTTCCGGTTCGGAGTTTGTTTTCTTTTCTCTTTCAGGTGAAGGTTCCGGAGCCTGTCTGAAGGAATTCATGAACACTTGAAGTTGCTGATCACCTGTGGAGTTTTGTCAGGGATTGTTTTGTTAATCTTTATAGGATGCATAGTGTACTATTGCAAATGGTGTTTTGGATGGCCATTATCACCATCTTTAATATCAGGGGAAACTTCTGTGCTCCCCCCTCCCCAAAATTGTTATGGCAAAATGAATTTGTTGCTTTAGGCCAACAAGTAGCTAACGCTTTTAATCTTACTAAGTGTTGGGTTTGTGGTGGACCATTAGGTTTAGAAAGTTGGCCATGGACTGCTATCCCCATTTCTCCTGAATGGCTGCTGAGAAACTACAGTGAAATTAAAAATGATACCTATTGGGAAGACAGTACATCACTGCCCTGGCCAATACAATACCCAATAACATCAATACTGGAAACTACCTAGGATGATCTAACTGTAAACTGACTTACAGCTATGGTAGTACTTCCACTGGGAGGATGGACTGGAGATGGCGAAATGAAATGGGTGGTATTTGGTATCCAGAAGGATTCTGGTCCCCAGATGGGCACTTAGGGTCCCACTGGGAAGGGTTAATGAATTGTGCGTGTTCATATAATGGTTCGGTAGGAGCTTATTACTGTATTAATTGTACTTCAAATAACTACCATATAACCCCCCCAAGTCCGTGGGCACAAGGCAATTACTGGGACAATCTGAAAGCATCAAACCCATGGACCCCCTTTGCCAATGGGTATCGTGCTCTGAAGGGACATTATGTGGCCAATCTGCTTACAAACTGCTACCAGCAAATTGGACTGGGCTGTGTTATGTGGGGGCAATTCACCCCTGTTTTTTTCTACTCCCGGAAAATGAAGGTGATGGGTTGGGTGTTAAGGTATATGATGATCTCAATCGACATCAGCAGTCCATTGATACCTCTATAGCAAGTGGAAGTAATCAAACCTGGGGCAAAGAGGAGTGGACCCCCCAACGTATTGTAGAACATTATGGACCTGCCACCTGGAACCCCAATGAGTGGGTTAGCGGTGCTCGAGAACCTATCTACAATTTAAACCGCATTATTCAATTGCAAGCCGTCCTAGAGATTATCACTAATGAGACGGCCCGTGCTCTTGACTTATTAGCGGACCAAGCCATGCAAATGCAAACGGCAATATTCCAACATCGTATGGTTCTCGATTACCTGTTAGCTGAAGAAGGGGGTGTCTGTGGTAAACTAAATGATTCTAACTGTTGCCTAAAAATTGACAACAACGGGAAAGTTGTCAAACAAATTGTCACAGGAATACGGAAGCTGGCCCATGTCCCTGTTCAGACATGGAAAGGCTGGGACATTGACTTATTCTCCTGGCTCCCAGGTGGCCCATGGGTTAAGCGAATCTTATTCTACTTGTTATGTGGTTTTGCCATGCTAATGTTTTTGCCATGTATTATTAGATGTTTTATACAATTCATTCAACGTGTTGTAACCAATACGCAATTTGTAACTACTGTTTCACCTGATGGTGTTAAGCAAATTCTTGCCGTACGTTGATCCACGCTGTCAGTAGTGCGAATTGTATGACGTGCTCTTTTCCAACCTTTTTCTATATAACTATCTTTTCTCAAAACTGCCATGGGTCCTGAGGCAATCTTTGAGCCATGGGGTGGTGTGAGAGACCGGACTGTCAGAACTTTTTGTCTCAAAGATTGCCTGCTCAAGTGGAAAACCCCTCCAGCTACTAAGTTCAATAAGGACGATTGCTGGGTTGTAGAGACTTTCAACCTGC